TTTTACCAACCTAAAAATCTCTTACAGACTGTTCAATCCCAGAGAAGCGAATCGATTTGAGCCAAATCGAAGATGGGGAAAGGATTGCTTGATCTAGAGAAGCAATTCTCCTTCTACGGTGCGTATCACAGCAACCCGGTGAACGTTCTCCTCCACATCATATTCGTTTGGCCCATCTTTTTCACCTCCCTCATCCTATTCTATTTCACCCCTCCTCTTTTTCATCTGCCGGTCTTCGGTGGCCTCGACCTCAACTTCGCCTTCATCTCCGTTGTCTTCTATTCCCTCTTCTACGTCGCACTCGACAAGAAGGCCGGATCGCTCGCCGCTCTCCTTTGCTTCCTCTGCTGGTTCGGAAGCCAAGCCCTCGCTGCTGCTCTCAGCTTCTCTCTCGCCTGGAAGGTTGAATCCCTTTGCTTCTCTTTTTTGGTTTTGTTTGCTTCTTTGAAATTGGATTTTCTTATCTTTGTTTTTTGGTAATTCGTACAATTTGTTGGTTTCTTTTCTTCAATTATTAGGTCGATGATATTCTAATAGTTACGCAAATTTGATGTGATTTGGGCAGTTTGAATAACAATTAGGATTTTATGAATCTGATCATAAGAAATCACGTGATTTTTGGTTTTTGTAAATTTCTGAATCATTAAATCCTGAAAATTGTTTGGTTTTTAGCCTGAATTTCTTAAAATCCCGCTGTCGGCATGTCTTGCTGAATTCAGGATTTAGAGCTGGGCGTTTAAAACCTTGTTTTTGAACAACTTCCGATTCAATTACTAGAAAATTAAACAAACTCATGTTTTAATCCAGTCAAATGTTATTATAAAAATATTTATTTCATAGAGTATGGAATCGGTTAATCTTTATAGTTTATGGCTTAATTTTTATTCTTTAATCCCTCAAACTCTAGGTTTGACTAAATCATGAAGAGAGAGCCAGAGATTAGGGCAACTAAATATTATTAACCCTAATTAGTTTAATTAATTGTTAATTAGCCTGAGTTATTATTAAAGTTGTGATGTGAAAT